GAGTGTATACAACTTATGCAATATTGGTTTTTAGAACATAGCTGGTCATTGTTTTTGACTAAGTATTGCCTCAATTTTTGTTTTGTGTTTTTGAACGTTTAAACGTATGGTCATTTACTTTAGACTACTAATAAGAACATTGGTATGGATCAACTTTTGGATGACATATATTTTACAGTTTTTACACTTCGACCTAGATATCTCTTCATGCTTGCAATTTAATTTTTCGACATCCTGCTGGTAAACCAATATTCATTCTATGGAAATCGACGTACATATATTTAGTAAAAATGACTTTATTCGGGAAGGGTCTTCTATTTCGGCGAGTAAGTTACATATATATTCTTTTCAAGGAACGGATTTATTTACCGGAAGTTTAGACGTTTTAGACGGGTGTTTCAATTGGCGCATCAAAGCGCCGAGAAACTATTCTCGGTGTAATCAGAAAGAATATACCTATTAAATAGAAATTTTCGTCTTCTATTCAGCGTATTTAACTTCGTCTAAATCGGAACTTCATTGTACTTGTCGATCCAGTCCAACCCCCGAAAGTACACCTCACGCAGAATAGGAGGAGCAGCGTATTGAAATATTCCATGCAGTATATGCTGGTCAAGGTCGAAGGGAACATACGTAGCCTTGGACTGATTGTGTACGTCGTTATGACAGGAAAATATGCTCAGAAGCGCAATTTTGGACCTCACCGGGAATGGAGTAGATCTACAAATTGGTTTAAGATGATGCGCTTTGAACTTATCGAGGAATCCACGGTACTCGAGGGGTGCAATAACATCCAGATATTCGAGGGTCTGGTTCACTTCCAGCATCTGTAACATTCCAGCTACACTCGCGTTTATACGAACATCATCATGTACTTCTCTCTCATCCCGCACGTTATTTAAACGGACTCGCAAGCGACGTAAATACTTCGTGAAAGGGCTGCAACTATCCTGTAATACTGTGCTAATAGCGATAGAATCAGTCCAGTCGGTTCTTAACGTAGGAAGTGGCTGGCATTCCGTAAAGTCGAAGCGCACATCAGTCACCAGTGATCGCAGCGATAATTCTTCCAAGTTCGGACAGCATTGCACAATGAAGTTTGCGTCGAAATTAACGCGCGTAGCATCCAATGCTAAAAATCTCAACGGAGGTCCGACGGCAGCTATAAATGCTCCCAAGCCACCCACAGCTTGTGCGTTGAAGCCTTTAAAACCAATTGTTAGAGACGCAATTCCACTATGATATTCCTCACAACTCGGCTGAAATATCAAATCATCACGTCGAAACAGGCATCTCCCATAGCCGGGAATAATACCATTCACCCATTCGCTCTGTCCATCATCACTGATAGTTCGAACAGAAGTGGGTACATCAAGTTCTAGTGACTCTCCTGCTTCATCCAGTCGAAAATTTGTAATGCTGTGTTCGAATGTGGCATTTCTACCGTTAATCAGTCCACAAGTCCCAAAAAGTTCTTCTTCGGGATGCTTTGAAGTCATCACGGATACAAAAGCCTCCATGTCGGCGATACTCATACTCCCTATAGACGTCAAAGTAAGCGACTCCAGCGCAGAACACGCACGTGCTCGCTTGGAGAACAATGCATACGCCAGCCATTTCCACCTAGTCGTACTTGTATTCGCGTCTTT